GCTTAAAGTTTTTTATAATATTTGAAGAAACTTTTCTTTTTTATATATAATTTTTAAAATCTTTTTACTACCTGTAATAATGTATCTAAAGAACACTATTTTGGAGTCTTTAGATCAATTTCGTTCATCGACATTAACATGAATTTAGTTAAAACTTTTTTAAAAAGTTACTTAATTTACTACTGATCCTAGTTCTAATCGGTTCTGACGTATATTAACTATATATAGTATATAAACACAATATTTCTATCAATTTTCACAAAAAATACTGGAATTCCGATTTGGGAGAGCTTATAATTATAAATAATTGCCAATAAACGATCAGCACAGATCATATTGTTAAACTATAATTGTTCATTGTACCTAAAAAACGTATTAATATAAAATCTTATTTAAATTTGGACGAGCGATTGTTATTTTAAGATGATTTTTTTTAAAAAAAAAAATCCACGGTCTGGGTTTTTTCGCTACAAACATTTTATTACACCGCAAAATTCATTATTTTAATTTTTTTCGTCTTTTCATAATTCACAGACCAGACCATTTCTCGGAAATATGTCATAATCAACAAAATATCATACAGACACTATAATATTTTAAAAGTGCCTTAACTACACCGAGTAAAGCCAAAAAAATTTTTTTGCACACTAACTTATCTAAAAAAAAAAAAAAAAAAAGACCTCGTTTTCCGACATATGCCGCCTGCCAATATTAAACCAAAAATTGCCGACTAATAAAATTAGTAGGGAGACTAGACACCCCCTCTCTTACGCCTCCCCCTCGGGACGGCCCTGTAAATATTGCTAATATGCTACGAGTTAGATGAAACTTTATAAGAGTAAGCAAAAAACAGTATGTAACAATTATTTAAGTACATGCTAATGTAATTAAATAAAAAAACTAAAAATTAAATCGAATAAAAAGACATAAGGATTTTAGGATTATTACCGTAAAACAACTTTGATAGGTTTTTAGGTATTTTTGCTAAATAACTCTTCAGTAAAACATTTATTTTTTCTGATATAACATTATATCTCTCCTTTTTAAGGCTCCAATTTAAAAAAAAAACATTATTTTGTCTTGCTATATTTTTTTTATCTCCTTAATGTTATCAATTTTTTTTTTATCTTCTGAATGTTATCAAATTCGTTTGGGGTGACTTTGATAATCTTGTAAGCTTGTTATGGTAGTACCCAGCCATTATTTCTATTTTCTTATATTTTACACATAATAAATACCTTTTTATGAATTACTAGCATAATAGATAAAAATCTAAAACGGATTGCAAATATTTTTTTAATTTGAAAAAAAAAAAATTGCTGACTCACCAAAAAAAGGTGAAAAAGTTAACGTCCCAAGAACATAAATATTTTAAGATTACATCAATATTAAAGGTTGAAATTTTACAAAATGCTAGTATATTATTGTAGCTTGTGCCTGAACCAAAAATTTTAAACGATCAAAAATAGCAGACTTTATAGTATTAAAAAATATTTGATATGGTAATTGTAGGTTAAGTTTAACTTTTTTTTAATTTTATTTTAGGTTTAGGCACTAAAAACTTTAATAATAAGCATATCCTGAAAATTTGAAGCTAAAATAATGTTTTTTTTATTGAGATATCATTGTTTTCCCACAGCTACTCATAAAAAAAATTGAGAAAAATCAGTTTTAAAATTATAAATCATGTAGGCTATTCACATAATTAACATAAATCTATTCACATAATTAACATAAATTGAAAAGAATATTATTGATATTCTAAAACTATTTTGGAAAAAAATTTTGGAAAAATTTTTACTATTGAATTCTACAAGGTTCAATTGTCTAAATAACATTTTTTCAAATTTTTCATTATTTTTTTTCATTTTTTAACACTGGATACTACCTTTAGCCTTTCTCAAAAAGGCTGTGGCTGGATACCACATTTCCTCACAAATGACAATGGCTGTATACCACATTTAACCTTCCTCACAAGTGTCATTGATAGTTTTTTTAGGGTTTTAATAAAATAAAACCCAATATAAAAACCGGGGGAGTGGAGTCTTAAAAAAATAGTACCAACTCCGATTACGACTCCAAAGCGAAATTTTTGAAATATTCTTTGACCTCTTTTTTTTTTGCCAAATATATGAAAAGTTATTTAAAGGTTAAATATTTTGTACATGGACGTGCAATACCGAGAAGTTTTACTACTGGAGTCAAAGTCGCGATTTTGTTTAGCGACTCCGACTCCGACTCCGCTAAAAACGTCACGACTCCGACTATACGGCTCCGACTCCATAGCCCTGATAAAAACAATTTTATAGCATTAACTTCGTTACTTGACCTTAACATTACAGAAACAATCTCTTGTTTTTAAACTTTTATACGTCTTGAAGTTTTTTTTAAATTTACACAATAGATGAAATGCTTACGATTATATTTATAAAAATGCATTTAATTATATCGTAAACCGGGTTAACTTTAACCAGCGTGGTAATTTTGGCCTTTTTTTTTAATTTCAATTAAACATTTGTAACTTTTAAACGGTTAAGTAACATTTCACTATTCTTGGTTTATTTGTAAATTCAATCTTTCTTGCTTAAATTTTGATCTGAAGTTTGTTGCAAATGCTATTTACTATAAGGAAAAAATAATGAAAACTACATCTTGGTAAAACACAATCAAAAACTGTAAAACAGAATGTTGTCTGGGCGAAGATAAAAATGAAAGCAAACAGCTCAGTTTTTCTTCTGTTTAAAAGACAAACGTTCAGATAAAATTAAGCGAAAAGTTTTTGGCTTAAGTAAAAATATTCTGGTTTTTTTACAGGGTGGTCAAAGTTACTCCGTAGGTTTATACTCTTTTGGGGTAACTTTGGCCAAGTAAATAATATTCATTTTAAAGTAGTCTGATCACTAATTATTATAACTAAAATATTTTTTTGAAGCATGTTGTCTAAATAATTTATTTTGAAAAACAGTTTTTAGCATGAATGTATTTTATGATTTTAAAAACAATATATTTTCTTGTTAAACTATTTGTTGTTGTTGTTGTTGCTAAATCATAATTTTATTAACTTTATAACAAAATTAAAATTTATAGACTCTTTTAATTGCAATTTAATAAAATTATATAATAGTTTAATAAATTACTACAATGTGATAGTGAAACAGAAACAGCATTTGAAGGTGAATCAGTCTCTATTGAATTTATGATAGATTACTGAAGGGAATTTTAAACTTTTTTTAAAAAAAAACAGAGTTTATGTAACAAATTGTTTGTCTATTCTTTAGTACTCTCTTATTTTTTGCTTCTTCTGACATTTAATAAAAACATTTGTAAGTTTTTTCAATTATTGGGATAAAAAAATAAATTTAAAAAAATCAAATTATTTTAGATAATACGTTTCTTTAATACTGTTTATATTTATTTTTGTTGTCTCTTTTTTAATTTAATGACATATTTTAGGTATCCCTTTTTGAAATAAATGTGGCTAATAACACTTAATTTACATCCGGTGTTAGAAAAACAATTTACTATGACAAAGTTACCCCATTACCGGGTAACATTGACCACCTCATTATTTCCATAAAATCTTGGATTTGGTGAATACAATGAATACAACATTTCACTAATTAAATGAAATTAGTAATGTACAACTTTGAGCATCAAAATCGATTTGGGAAAATGTTCCTTTTTTTCAAAAAGTTATCTTCATAATCAAAATTGGTACTAAGTTTACGAAATTTTTTTTTTTTTTTTCTATTTTTTTATTTTTTTACATGTTTATTTTACAACTCCAAAGTATTTACAAGTAACCAATCAAAGATTGGCGGTAAAGATATACAAACATAAATATCATAAACATAAAGTTCGAAATATTTATAAAGATAATGTATCTTTATAAATATAAATGTTTTTGTTTACTTTGTATATTTCGAACTTTATGTTTATGATATTTATGAAAGTGTTTTGTTGAAACTTGGCTATTTTAATCATACGAGTTTTTATATTTATATATATTTATATATCTTATAATTTGTGTTTATCTTATATTTAATTGATATTTATTGTAAAATATAATTGAAAATAACGGGACAATATGATAAGACCTTCGTCTTCTGTCTGCTTCAGTCAATTTGTTACATTAACTTATCCTGGAGAGAACATATTAAACATATTAGTAATAAAATCTTAAGAAATATTGGCATTTTATATAAAACCAGATAAATCTTAGACAAATCTACACTAACTCAACTATAATTTGCATTCATAAATAGTTATTTATCTTATGGCAATTTTGTTTGGGGTAGTACAAATAAATCTAAATTCGACTGTCTCCTTAAACAACAGAATCATGCAGCATGCATTATTCATAATCGAACTTATTGCCAATCAAGATTCTTTACATGATTTTTTCTAACAATACACTTTTATTTCCAATTTTTATTACCAAAGGTTACTGATAAGATAAGATTTTATCTTCTTCAGGATTTCCGGTCTCGTAACTACTATAAATAATGAAATGTACTTGTATTTAATAATTTTAAATATTTTATCGTAAATTATCTTTAATTGTTAATAGTTGCTTGACAAAAATAAATAAATAGATAAAAAAAGTAATTAACAATTTTGTATAAAAAAATTTTATATTGACAAAAAAGATTATTAAAAAAAAAAAAAAAAACTAAAAAATAAAAAACATTTTAAAAGAAAAATAATCAATAAAAAAAAAAAAAATAGGGTTATCAAATATATTATATAAATAAACTTTTTTATGTTAATATATAAGTTATGTAATATGTAAGTTTTTAATGTTAATATATAAGTTAAGTTAGATAAACATAGCAATTTAATATATCAATAGCACCAGTATAAAAACAATCATTAGTTAAAAAATAAAGCTAATCCATAAAGTTTTGTTAATAAAATAATATTAACATCAGTAGTAATCTCCTTCTGTTGTTTATCTACATTTTTGTAATTAGAAGTATATTTTATATACAAAAAGGTGCAAAACTGGTGACAAGATGTACAATTTTTCTATGGAACTGTATGTATTTTTTTGTATATATAAGTTGATTGTATTTATTAAATAGCGAAATAAATCTAATTAAAAAAAAAGTAACCAAAAGCGAGTGGTATACAGGCCCGTAGCAACGGGTGAGGGAAGGGGGCTGAAGAGGCATTGCCCCCACCCCTCAATAATTTTTCAAATAAATAATTTGAAGTTAGATTTTAGAAAAAAGCAAACGATTACAAATTAAAAAATAAAAGAAAAAAAAGGATAGAAAGGACCTAATTTCTTATGGATAGAAAGGAGCTAATTTCTTAATAGTAGGAAATCCATAGTCGAATAAATCGACTAATTTTGACTTTCGACTAGTCGACTTTTAGTCGATTTAGTCGAAGCCGATAACGACACTTAAAACGGCTAGAAAAATATTACATCATCAACCACCAATAAGATCGTTGATTTCAAAAATGCTTACCTAGTACCGATATTGTTTGGTAAAGTGCAAAGGTGAACTTTATAATATACCGATTTAATTAAAATTTTTGCAAACCAATCATCTTAATATTCACTGGTGTCAAGCTCTGATTTAATCAATATTCGTCAAATAACATGCAGAAAAATAAAATCTATAAATTAGTATATCTATAAACTAATAAAAAAACTTTATTTTTTTATTTTAATAGTTCATATATTTATTTAGGAAAAAGTTTGTAAAATTTGCAAACTTTTTTTTTTTACCGACAAAAAACTATTTTGCGGAGTTTGACTTTATCCGAATATGTAAGTCGCAAATACCAGTTTACTTTGTTTATTAATTTTTTGATAAATTTCTTGATATTTTTTTTGAAAAGATTTTGATTTAAACTTTGATAAAATTTTATCCATAATTTTTTTTTGGTTTTTCTGTTTTTTTTTGCTTTTAATTTTAGTTAATCTCATCAAAATTTTGATACAAAATATAGATAGATCGTTTATTTAGTTAAGTTGAATCTAAAAGATTCAAGATTTTAAAACAATCTAACTACAAGTTTGCCATAGTAAATAGACAACCATCATCAAATAAATTTAAAAATCTTTATTATAGTGTATTTCATAAATAATTTAATATTTACTATCTTTTATTTTTAAATAATTTTTAGCATAAATAATAACTTTCTTTTACTATTTTATTATACATACATACATACATACATACATACATACACATACATACATACATACATACATACATACATACATACATACATACATACATACATACATACATACATACATACATACATACATACATACATACATACATACATACATACATACATACATACATACATACATACATACATACATACATACATACATACATACATACATACATAGGTATGTGTGTATGTATGTATGTATGTATGTATGTATGTATGTATGTATGTATGTATGTATGTATGTATGTATGTATGTATGTATGTATGTGTGTGTATGTATGTATGTATGTATTATACACAAATTTCAGGAACTTCTCTCCTAACTGAAGCTTTTTAATGTCATCTATAATGCACATAACATGCTGATACCCTTATATTCCCATCTATCAAAAAGTATGTTTTTTTAATTTTTTTTTAATCTTTTAGAGTCACACCACACATCTATCGTTAGATCAATCTTCTCTCTTCATCAAGATGTTAGGGATTTTTGGCCTTCTTTGCTCATATTTTACTGCCATTCATCATAACACTGCTTAATCTTTTATTCTTTAATAATGCACCTCTTACTGTTAGAAGTGGAATTCTCTAAATTTGACCCTGGTACACATTAGTCCTGCTTCAAGTGATTCTTCTAATCCATCAACTGATACAATTCTATCTCCAAGATAACAAAACTAAACTTACAAAAATTTACTTTCTAAAACTATATATTTTAATCTCTTTCTTGACTTCTCTGTATTCACCAAAAGTGCAGTTTTTACACTCAAAATCTACAATATCAAGAGTACTATGTAAGTCACTACAACTCTTGTGAGCTCATTACTAGCAATTTGTTCAAACAATATAGATAACCCTAGTCAATGAATGTACTGAAGCTTCCTATTTCAATATGATGTCATTGTGAGATTTTATTTAAGGCAAAGTATGCAAAGATATATATATATATATATATATATATATATATATATATATATATATATATATATATATATATATATATATATATATATATATATATAATATATATATATATATAATATATATATATATATATATATATATATATATATATATATATATATATATATATATATATATAATATATATATATATGTATATATATATATATATAATATATATATATATATATAATATATATAAATATATATATATATATATATATATATATATATATATATATATATATATATATATATATATATATATATATATATATATATATAATATATATAAATCGCTGATTTTGTTCCTATATTTAATTGTAAAATTTTTTTATTGACTTCTAACAGATTAAGGTCAGCAAATTATTACTGACCTCGTTTTTCCTAATCCCGAGGGCTGTATATATATATATATATATATATATATATATATATATATATATATATATATATATATATATATATATATATATATATATATATATATATATATATATATTATATACATATATATACAAACACACACACACACAACATAGGGCCAAATCTAGGCAACTTATGGCAAATGCATCTCTATATACATATAAAAATTAGTAGAAAATCACTTATCAATTTTTTTTAATTTTACACTATGTTTGATCTATAAACACTCATTGAAAATCCATTTCTTTCTGATAAGCATTTCTGTTAAATCTTTTAAAATGAAATACAGTGTAAAATGAAAAAAAATTGATTAGTGATTTTATACTAATTTATTATTGCTCTGTTCTTATAAGAACATTGAGCACTCAATTTTGTAAAGTGCATTTAAAAATATTTATGCATATATATTTTATATATGTTTTTTTATTTATAAAATATGCATTCAATATATTAAATTTTTTAGATTCCACATAATGAATAATAACTCACGATTAAACAAAAATCGTTTTAAACCTTTGCCAGAACAGTCTGAAGAAAAAAAAGTTGGTGTACCTACTAGCCTTCTTAAATCAGCGAGACACACTGGACAGTTGAATCTTTCTGGTCGTTCATTAAAGGAAGTACCTTTAGATGTTTGGCGTATTAATTTAGATATACCTTCTCAAACTATTTCATTAGGTGAAGTTGACGAAAGGTGGTGGGATCAAGTTGATTTAAAAAAACTTATTTTAGCATCTAATGAGATTAAGTGCATTCCCAATGAAGTAAAATATTTGCCTGCCCTTAATGTTTTAGATGCCCACGATAACTGTATAGAATATCTGTCTGATGAAATTTCAGAGCTGAAAGAGCTAGGAAAGCTTCATTTATCACACAACAAACTAACTTCTCTTCCAGACTCATTATGCCAAGCTACTGCATTAAAAGTACTTTTACTTGCTGGAAATTCTTTACAAAGTTTACCTGTAAATTTTGGTTTTTTAATAAATTTGGAAGAACTTGACTTAAGTGATAATAAATTAACATCACTTCCAGAAAGTTTTGGCAGCTTGGTACAAATAAAAAAACTTGATTTGTCAAAAAACTTGCTTACATCTTTACCAAACTCTTTTGATAGTCTAAAATCTTTGATAAATCTTAATTTGAGCACAAATAAACTTACCGTGTTACCAAAAGGGTTTGGTAAGTTGACTTCTTTGGAAATATTTGAATGCAGCTATAATTTAATTACTACATTCACAACATTTGATGATCAAACAAATATAAAGCAACTGTTTCTTGGGTACAACAGAATTCAGAAAATAGAAGATAATGCATTTGAAAAAATGCAATCCTTGGTTTCTCTAAGTCTTAGAGACAATGCAATTTCAGAGATTCCCGAAAGTTTTACTAAACTTAGAACATTAGAAAGAGCTGACCTTTCTAACAACTCTTTATCAACTTTGCCAAATGCTGTTGGGAAAATGAATTTGAAATCTTTGACACTAGATGGAAATTCTATGCGTTCTATTCGGCGTGATATTGTAGACCGTGGCACTAATGCTATTCTTGCTTATTTAAAAAGCAGACTTCCTGAAGAAAAAGTTCCTGATGAAGAAATTAAAATTCCTAAGAGTGTAAGTAAAGTAAATGACAATGATCAGCAAAAAAAGATTCAAGAAAATAATAAGGCAGTGACTGACCAATTTTTAATTGCAACTACCAAAAACCTATCATTTTCAGGTGGTTCAGGAAGCATCCCAAGTTCGTTTTGGCTTCCTGGTGCACAAATCTCAAAAATTTCCATTCAACACAATGGTTTAACTGTTTATCCATTAGAGATAATGAACTATGCATCAACTCTTTCTGAGTTGGATATATCACACAATAAATTAAGTAATATTTTAGACACTGTCAACATATTAACAAAGTTAGTTTTTTTAGATTTAAGTCACAACGTACTTTCTTCACTGCCGAGCAGTATAAGTCAGCTGGAGCACTTATTAGAAGTTGTGCTATCTTTTAATAAGTATTCATCAATACCGCCTTGTTTGTTTAAGTGCAAAAAGCTGCAAACATTGCTTCTTTCAAACAATCAAATTACTGATATCGATGTAGTTGGATTGCTAGAGATGAAATGCTTACGAACATTAGATTTATCTAATAATAATATTGCTTGTGTGCCCCCTCAGCTCGGTAATGTTGAGTGGCTGCAGTCATTAAATCTTGATGGAAACCCTTTTAGAAATCCAAGAGCTCAGATTTTGATGAAAGGTACACAAAACCTTTTAGCGTATTTGAGAGATAGAATACCTACATAGTTATGGAAAAAAAAAAAAACTCTTAATAGAATTCATTATCTATAAGCATTAAAATTTTTATTTGTGTACATCTTGTTAGAATAATTAGTAAACAAGAATAAAATAATAAAAAGAAAATTTGTGTAACTTTAAAAGAAAATTGAATAATATTTATATAAGTAATTTTTTGTTCAGAGTTCAAAAAAATATTTAGCTTCCTTTCAAAATAACTTTTTTTTTTTTGAAACGGGTAAGCTAACTTCAAGTTTGTCTTTGAAGGTATTGTTATGCCTATATTTAAAAAATGCTTTGCAAAAAGTTGCCGTGTTTAAAACCTAATAAACAAATATACCTCGTAACCTCTCTCTAATTCTACATGTGAGGACGATGAGTAAATAAATTTTATGCTTTACTATTTTAACAAAATTTAAACTCATCGACAGATGTTTAATTTCGTCAAATAATACTTATAAGGGGTCTTCCATAAAGTGCGTAGGCAGGTATGGAAGGAGGGAGGTTACCAAAAACGTACAAATACGCATTTGTGTGCGTGTGCGTGTGTTAAAGGCAGTGAGTACGTACGCCGTTTGACAACCTCAATCTCTCCTAAAACTTGATTTTTTTTACAACAAAACTATTGATTTTTTAAGTTAAAAAAATCGATATTGCGTTATATAATGTAGCAAAGAAATGTCAAATTAATTACAACTTTTTTGTTTTTAATGTTTTAAAAAATTTATGCGTTAGTAAAAGAGGGGGTAATTTTTAGTTTGTTTTTTATAAAATAATGCGTAGGTACACAGAGGAGGGGCGACAACTGAATAAGTGCGAATGGCGTTGGTGCAAACTTTCGTAAGTACAAACTGGCATACGTGCAAAGCTGTTGCATAAACTGGCGTAAGTGCACTACAAGAGTTTGCAAACATTGCATAAGTACGAACTGTCATAAGTGCGAATCAGTTGTAAAAATTGGCACAAGTGCACCAAAAGATATAGTAAACATTAGTATAAGTGCGAAGGAGTTGTAAAAACTTGCATCAGTGCGAATCAGCATAAATTAATTTAAAAATTAGCAATTGTGCGTCAAAAGAATTTGTCAACAATTGCACGAGTGCGAACTGGCATAAGTGTAAAATCCCAATTTGCTCTTATGTTAAAATTTCCAATTTTATTCGGCACACTTATGTCAACTCCCTCTTATGCCAGTTCGCATTAATGCCAGTATTTGTAACTGCTTCGCACTTATACCAATTTGCACTTATGCTAGTTTTTGCAACTGCTTTGCACTTATACCAGATCGCACTAAAGAAATTCGCACTTATTCAGCCTCCAATTTGAAAGGACACAAGTGCGTAAAAGTAGTAAAGGGTTCCTAAATTAGTGGTTTTTCTGGGTGCCTATTTTATAGATGTCCCTTAAAAGTGATTGAAAATTATGTCTGAAGTTTTAAACCCTTTCTGAGTTGTTGGAGGGCGGTGGTAACCTAACATGGTAATAATTGTATGAATGTGGCCGTTGAGTTTGTTTTTATAGTCGATCGTGCTCCTAGGAAACGGGTAACCTTTACTAAAAATTTTGAAAGTTTTTAAAGTAATTTAAATTAAATAATGTTTTGCTTTTTATGTATTATAATATATAGCTATAAATGATTTAAATCACGGTTAATCGCTATAAAATGTATAATGGTTTAAATTTATGTTGCACCTTATAGGCATAAATAGACTTAATAATCGTACGGTGTATATGCAGAAGTATGTACTAGTTAGCTACTGCATAGTATTAAACCTATAAACACTCGGCAACTACCGCCTATACTATAGTTGCATTAGCTATTTCTATCTTTTTTTATGTAATTGTATATATATATATATATATATATATATTCCTTTCATTCAGTGATCAAAAAAATAAATACATTAAATCTATTTGTAGTTTGACACCAGGCTCCTCTATGCTGACGAAAATGAAAACACAAACGCTGTAGAAAAAGCAGTTGTGTAACTAAAAGTTACTTTTTATGCTGCATTAGGAAGCATTGGTTGATGCTACGTTGACTGCTGGCTTGCAAAAACGCATTTCATGGAACAACACCTCTATTTGAAAAAAAGTCGTTTTTTGCGATTTCAAACTAGCTGGCGTTATAGTTTATGGCTACCCTCTCTCAAATTATACTTTGCTTTATTGTTTGAAAGTTTTTGCGGGACAAAAAAAATAAAGTTTGAGTTGACGCGTGATTTTAAATTTCTCGATAAGGTTTGTTCTTTTACGGCGTTCTTCAAGTGTTGTTAGACCGAACCGTTAAAGTCGATTTTCATAGGACAGGTGTTTATTAAATGATATTTTTTTGTTGCTCGATGTTGGACTTGCTTGATGATGGCGATGTCGGGTTTCAAATGCGGCAACCAAAGGTAGGAGCGAATGTAAATGAGATAAAGTGTGCGCCATATATAAAAGAAAAACTTCTATTTGCAATTGATGTATTTGACTCTTTCAAAGGTTGGCATGGTAGTTATTGTTTGGATTAAGATCTGTGAATTCTGTTTTCCAATCGACAGCTGCAATGTGTGCGAATATCGCTGCGCGTTTAATCAGCTCCAAATAAGTTGAGGTTGTTGCGGCAAAGTAGACGAGCTATCAAGGTCTCCAACAGTGAGTTGACCTTCAATAAAGGAGTGTGTCTCGCCGGTTGCAGTGTTGCCGAGAGAATCACCTTGTTTGATGAAAATAGCACACTCTGTTCATTCGTTATGATCAGGTCAGGTGTGCTAGTCACTAGTGTGCTAAGCTCCACGTGTCAACTACTACGGTATGTTTGGATATATTTATAAAATATAAAACATATTTTTAACAAATTAGAAAATATCTTTTTGTTATAAACTTTTTTCGATTTCTTTAGTTCTATATTGAGGTTCTGCCCTACTTCATTTTTTATGTTTAATTTGCCAACTGTTGATATATACGGTTTTAATTTAGTAAGTATTCATGAAATTTATTTTATTGATCATTAATCAATAGTTTAGATAAAAAATATATCAAACTCAAACAGTGAAGGTAAGAATAACCTGCGCCATTAATGAAGCATTTCAAACTAACTTAGATAACAGTTTATTTGATATCTTTAGCAATGAGTTGAACTTTGAAAGTGTTAAAAAAAAAACAAGAGATTTTTTTTCTCAAAAATATATTTGATGCAACAAAATGGCGCTGACTCTGTTGGCATTTCCCAGCATTTCGGTCTAAAAAAGAAGTCTTTTAGAGGTAAAAAAATGTAAGACCAAATGTTTGTTAGGATGGAAATGCATATTAGAGTTTAGCGTTGATTTTTGTAAAATAAAAGATTGATTTACCGTAGGGGTTTTAACATTTTATTTTTTAAAGTCATTTTTTACAGTTTATTGACTTCAACTATTACCTTTATCATTTCCTAGATATAGCGGTAATAACTTTAACAATTAGTAACACAAAATGGTAAAGTTATTAATATAAATTATTTAATATATTATTAAGCAAACAAAGTTGAAAAAAGAAAAAAGTACAATAAATAACGATTTTCAAAAAAGAAAACTTTTCGGATTTCAAAAACAGTCGGAAGTAGAAAAAACAGTCCGTGAGACGTCCAACGTACATCCCCAGAGCAACGCGTGCCCATTGGGTAGGTGCACCAAGAACGTAATGTTCTTTCATAAAACTAATTGGATTCAACCTTAATAAACGTATTCAAGGAATAAAGTGCTTTTGAATAAACTTGAAATGGTATTTTATTTTCAAATTCTTTAAACGTCAATTTCTTCGTTGGATTAAAATTTCTACCTTCTGTCGGCACAAAAAAATCTTTTTTATTTTATTTTTTCACTAAATATAAGATTTTTTTTATACTTTTAACGATCTATTTTAACAATAATAAGACATCTCCGTCCTCAACCCCCCCCTCTCCCTCAAGATGTTTTTTGTTATATTGAAAAGTTTGTATAAGTTTATCAAAAATTATTTTATCTGTATTTATTTAACTATATTATATATTTATCTAACTATATATTATATTTAATATTTAAGTAAATCAAATAAACTAAAGTTTAAAATAATAAAAAAAAGAAATTCAACTTTTTGATATTTTCTATAATAATTTGAAATTTGAAATTTAGTTGTTTAAAACCAACCCCTTTCCTAAATTTTTTTTAACAGTAAGTTTTTTTTTTTAACCATAAGAAAAGTTTTATGGCTGCAAAATTAGTTAAAAAAAAAAGAAAATATTTTCAACTTTGTTTATGTAATAAATCAAATTTATTAAGAACGACATAGTAAACTAACACTTCCTGATTTGTAACATCGTAAAAGTTCAAAGAATGAAGAAAATTGTGTTTGTTTATTTGCTCAGCAATTTATTTGACAACGACAGTTTAAAATTCAATTTTAAGTTGTGCTTTAAAAAAGTTTTTTGTTGTCAGTTTAAATTTTATTATTTTATATAATAGCTGGATAATCATAAAAAACAGAATAACTGTAAGTGGTTCGTTGAATTATAAATGCAGTTAACTATCCTTCTGGTTTTTGCTGTGGTAATCTATTTGTGATTTATTTTTTAAACATTATTTATTCAGATTACTTAAACTATTTCCCAGCTTATTTTTATATTATTTTTAATTATTCATTTAAATTATTTATCCTAAAAATACTTTATAAAGTTATTTATTTAGTAACTACTTTACGACGCTTTTTTTTTCATATTCGCTTATTTTTTCATATTCCCCAGACTCCCTAAAGCTCCAGAGCTCTGGAGGGTTACATCAGTGTTGATGAGTTTACTTAAGACTACATTTTAAGGAGGCTACATCACTACATTTCATAATATTTTAATTGCGATTATATAAGTTTTCATTAAATAATAATTATTATAATATGATATTATAATATGAATATTCATTATATAATAAATATTATCATATAAACTTTCATTAGACAATAATTATCAGCAAGTAAATTATTTTGAATATAACTCGAAGTGGAAGCTTTTAAATTGTAAAAAACAGCCTTTAAACTTTATAAATAAGTTTATAATATTTAATAAGGTTCTGATTGGTTGTAGTTTTGGATAAATGTTTTTCTGAAGAAGGATTTTTACAAAGCGATAAGTTATTTAGTATAATTCTGGTTGGTTTCACAGCCTTTTTTTTGTAACTTTTGCAATTTTATTTTTTTCTGCATTCATTTGTTTTAAACAGTCTTCAGAAGCTATACTCGTTCCATAGACACATTGTTTTACACTCTTTGCGCAAAAAAACAAACAAACAAAAAAACTTATCTTTTCAAGAGGTGGACTTAGCTTCATTAAAAAAAACAAATTAATTTCTAAAGAAGTAGACTCAGCTTCTTTTAAAATAAACCCTATTTGTTGAGTTGAAAATACTGCTTCGGATCAAAAAATTTTTTTCTCAAATATTGTAAATTGAAACAGCGGTTTATCTGAAGTAAAAGTACAAAATCTCTGTTCTAGTTTATTTTTTACTGTATCTCGTTCAAGAAATTATTATAACCAGAGTGACATATGAGTGGAAACTTCATATGGTTCTAAAATAAAATTTGTACCTTCAAAATTAAATTTTTATGTATCATTTAAGTTTAGTAAAACGTGATTCGATGTTGTTGACCAATTGAGCAAAACAGTTATTATCGTTGTCAAGTCAATAAAAAATTATGATCGTTGAAGTAATAAATTCAATTACTGAAGTTCATATAAAAACTGTGACCAACTTTGAAATTTCTAGCTTGACAAGCCATGAAACAGTTGTTTTATTTTCAGTAATGTCAATAAAACGACAAAAAGAAAAATTAAGTATCTACATTGCGTAAGAAAATAGGGCATGTGAGCGTAAAATTTGTGTATGAAATTTGACTAGTACATAAATAAGAATGTAGAAAACTAAATGAAAAGGCTAGAAAAATAAATCAAGATACCTTCGATACTTCTAAAACAGGAACGAAGTTTTTAATACCGTTTAAGTTATAATGTTAGTAACTACGAAAAAGATAAAAAAAAAAAAAAGACTAAACATTGTAAACTTAAACTATTCTACTTTTAAAATAAAATAAGTATAAAATAAGTATAAAATAAGTATAAAATTCTGATATAAAAAAGAACACAATAAATACAACACAGTCGCCTAAAGACATTTATCCAGGGTTTCAAGTAAGACACATAAAATCACCACTGTCTTTCTTTTATGTATAAGCTCAACTTGTTTATCTATGCAGCTACCTTGTTTGTCAAGGTTTGTATTTGGGAGTAAAATAGTTGAGAAAGGATTTAAAACACAATGAGACACTCTCCTCGACTATAACTAACTGTAACCTCCACGACTGTAATGTATGCTTTCGGGAGATGAGTCACATAAAAAGGAAATAATAATAAAAAAATATGCAAGTAATTTTTTTATAATCTTAAATCTTAAGAAGTTCTAGCTGTTCTACTGGTATCTTCCATTGAATAAGCTTTATATTAAACTATTTCATTTAGTTGGCTAAAAGTAACATAAAGTAATGTAAAACATTAAGAAAGTATTTTATGATTTATACCATTTTAATCAATTCTTTATAGGGTGTTTCTCAATCAAAAAAAAGATGGAGTCATAAAGGTTTGATAATATCTTTTAAACTTTATATATATATATATATATATATATATATATATATATATATATATATATATATATATATATATATATATATATATATATATATAAATTAATAGGAAATCACTTAGCAAAATTTTTTCTCATTTAACACTGTGTTTCATCAATAAAGACTCATCAGAAGAATAAAAAAAAAAAGGATTTTTTTGATGAGTCTTTATTGATGAAACACAGTGTTAAATGAGAGAAAATTTTGCTAAGCGATTTTCTACTAATTTGTAATTGCTCTGTTCTTTTAAGAACATTGAGCACTCTTTTTGTAGAATACATTTTAAATTGTTTAAATATATATATATATATATATATATATATATATATATATATATATATATATATATATATATATATATATATATATATATATATATATATATATATACATATATATATATATATATATATATATATATATATATATATATATATATATATATATATATATATATATGTATATATATATATATATATATATATATATATATATATATATATATATATATACATATATATGTTTATACTGATATTTTTGTTGAAGTAAGAGTGGGGCACTATAACACACTTTTGGTTTTTGCTTCGTAGCAATTTTTTAATACGCCTTTTTTAGGCTATAAGTTCAATTTGTTGAATAAATTTATACCTATCAAATTAAATTTATAGATTACCAAAATATAACAAGTTTAACTTGTGAGACTAATTAAAGTAAAATTAGAAATTTGTTTCAAAGTACCCCAAGGGTGCTGTACTTTGATTCACACTACGAGTATCATTAAAAAAGAAAATAAAAAGTATAAAACATAGAGAAAAAGCAGATTTTAACAACATGTCAAATCACATTTTAGAAGACCAGATAACTGATTGTTTTAAATATCATTCTTAAGCGTCAATAAAAAATGGCTTTGTTTTGTTGGATGTCCTTGTATTATATTTACAAAAGTCTTTTAAAAATTGCCTGTAAATATTTAAAAAAATGGTTTTTAAAATCGTTTATGAAACAATGGAGTACTATTCTACAGTTTTAGGACCCCCTCAAATTGCTGTATCAAGTTACTAATTGAAAACAATTGCTTTATTTTTAGTATCAACTTGTTTTTTCAATGATTTTGTTTAATGAAGTAAAAGGCTTATGGATTATAGTTTACAAAATAATGTTACTTATCAATAGAAACATTGAGTAAGATACCTTAAAACTTATGTACTTTAAAAACTAATAAACTACTGTCAAAGTTTGTGTTTTTTTGATTGTCATCAAAAAATAAATAACGAAGTAAAAAGCTTATGGATTGTAGTTTACAAAATAATGTTACTTATCAATAAAAACATTAAGTAAGATACTTTAAAACTTATGTACTTTAAAAACTAATAAACTACTGCCAAAGTTTGTGTTTTTTTGATTGCTATCAAAAAATAAAAATTTTGACCCCTCGCAGGCCTAATGATTTAGTAGTAACTGTTTCACCATATGAAAGTGGTTGTCACATCTTTTAAGATGCCTCCACTGTTACAATGTTTCAAGGTGCCCCCGTTTTATGGTGCCCCACTCACCTCTACACCTTAAATTTTAGATCGAAAGTTTTGTTTTTTGATTTAGATTAAAAGCCAAAATTTTAGCAAATAAAATATTAATGCTGGTTTTATTTTTCCTAGAGTTTTTTTATTTTAGAGGGAAAACTGCAAACATGCGACGTTACATATTGTGCAAATGGTCAAGAATGTGTTGAAAGCAATAACAAACCAGAGTGCCGATGCATTCAATCATGTTATGAGGAAATTTCATACGTATGTGGAAGCAATAGAAAAACATATAACAGTAAATGTGAACTTTATAAAGATGCATGTGTTAGAAAGGAATCAATAACATTAGTGGCAACAGTTTCTTGCGAGGAAGGTTACAGTTTTTTGACAACTTTATTTTTTTACTTCTTATACTTTTAAATGCAAACCTGCTTATTTACAATTGCAGTTTTAATTTTATCAGCTTTTTTTATATCTAATTATTTGAGCTTTTTTTTTCAACAGACGACAAGATTAAAAAAGATAGAAGCAATGAAATTGAAATGGATGATAGCAAACCAAAACCTGGTTAGTCAAAAATATAGTTAGAATATTGTTGTTATTACGTTAATATGTTACTTTGTTGTTGTAAAGTGGCTATGATCTTGAAATAATTTAATAAATTTTTAAAACTTTTTTTAAGAACAAATTTAGAGAATGAATGATACATCTTAAATAAAGTAATACTGAAATTGGGAGGGGCAAACTGTTTTATACATAACAAATGATGGGCATGGGCAGGAAGTGACAGGTGTATCTATGCATAAAAAGATTAAAATAAAAAACTTTTTTTTTTACATTTACAATTTTTAAGATTTTAATTTTTGTTTCAAAAACATCTAAATTGTTAGAGATAAATCCTTAATATGTCTCTTACAAACAGATGCACAAAACATTTTAAATTAATGTATGTATTTATATATATGTATATATATATATATATATATATATATATATATATATATATATATATATATATATATATATATATATATATATATATATATATATATATATATTTAGCCGTTTGTATTCAAAAAGATCGTGATACTATGAGATCAGTTATCATAAATTATTTTCATCAAAAAACAAGCTTAGGTGACAAATCATATATGATTGAACTTCAAAACCATTATAATGTTATTGACAAAAATAATGATAAATCGTTGGAAACACATGAGTTTATGAATCTAGTAGAAACAAAGAAACTGTTGTCTAATGTAAGTATTAAAAGTTTTTATAACAACTTTATTTCAAAAATTTTTATACATGCATAAGCTTTTTGTTTTAGAAGATTTTAACTCTTTAAGACTTAATAATTTTCAATAATTTACTTTTAGGTTACTAGCAACTCTTTATTAATTGGAGCATGTATTGTGGAGATAATGGCATTGACAGATGATAACTTTGATTACAGACTCGACTTTGAGGAGTTTGTAAAATGCATAAATCCTAACTTTCATCCTCCTCATGATAGTAAAATGTTCATTTTAGTTTGAAACATGTTTTTTAAATATAAATTGAGAATGTCGACATAATGACAGGATGATGACGTAAAGACATAACAACATATAGAAACGATGTCATAAAAACACAATTTATATAAAATAATCTCTTTATATTTATATAAGTTTTATTTATTCTCTGTAAATACTAAAAAAAAAAATATTTAGTTAAGTTTACTTATAGGTTGTGAGTTGGAAGGTAGAAATTATGATGATGGAGATGATGTTTTACAAGAATGTAACACCTGGTAATATCATACTCTCTATTTTTGTACCTTTTTAAAATAATTGCGATAGTTAATTCAAATAATCAAACTAATAAACTTTTAGGTATACTACTTAAGAAAAATTCGTGCTAAATGCAAAATAAAGTTAAACTAGTTACAGTATACTTTTGTTTATGTTTTGATTAAAACAACGTTATGCTTTGAGTATTTTTCTATTTTTTAGATCATAAATAACAAACAAAAGGTTTATTGCATTACTTTCATGTAAAAAGTTGTTGTTAAAACAGCTTAAACTTTTAATAATAAATCAAGGACCAGATTTGTGGAATTCATTCATCTTCCAAATGATGGAAATACTATAAGGTTCAAAATTTTAATTTTAAACTTTTAAATGTGATTTAAACAAACAGTTACTTGTATACTTGAAACGTAAAGATTTTATAGATGCAGAAAAAGGTCAAGAGTAAAAAATGTAGATCAGGATAAAGACTCTAAAATATGTTGATTTGGCAAAAAATTTGATTTCTTCCTAAAAAGATCATAAAAAAAAATTCATTTAAACGTAATGTTTGGGATTTGGTCAGCATTTTGCAGTTTGTTGATACTGAAATATCTTGACTATTGTTATAGTAATGGATATAATTTTAGTTGACTCAAAACATGTCAGAAACACGCAAACCTCATTATAGAAAAAATTCATGTTTGAAGTCAGCTTCCTGCACTTATTAAAAAAGATAATGACTTTATATCTTAACAATCTTTAAAAAAGCTTTAGCATTAAACATCTTATCGCACTTTACAGTTTTTTACTTTGGTAAAAATGCCAACCATGTAACTATTCGAACCTCAGAAACTGAGTATTACAGACATCAATGCTAAGATCAATATACAATAAACACCAAACGCACTTATAAAAATCTTGCGTAACACGAAACTTTTAGTTCTTTTATATTTTATAGTTTTTGATGAAATCAGCTGGTCTCTGAAAAATCGTTTTTAAGATATTAAAAATAGTTGCCTAGCCACCTAGACATAACGCGACGTTAGAATTAACTTTTTTCATCTCCACATTTTTGAGTTTTAAAATAAAACAATTTAAAAAATAAAAACTTTGAGACAACATAAAAAATATTTTTATAACTTAGGTTTTCTCCGCAACAATGTTACTTATGACTTAGGTTTCAATAGAGTAAAAAAACATGATTTTGAAGTACATAATTTATTAATAACTCAATGTTCTCATAAAGTGGAGATTGAACAAAGCAATTCTAACGTTGCGATAAGCCAGAATCCAATCGAGGCAAGAGGTTTTAGCGTTTGTTTTCTTAAGAAGAAACCAGTATTAAATAAATTGTCATCAACCAACAAAATAAAAAACTTTTACATAGCACATGTAGCAGTTGTACTAGATTACAGGGTACTAATAACTGGTCTCGATGACTGATTCGATGTTGCCACTTTGTACATCACTTAGCTTATTGTGTTGTATATAGTTGTATAACACTGAATACAGTGAACTAAATTGTAATAGAATTCTTTCGAAAAATCCAAGTCCATGATTTTTGTGGTAACTGAGAACCATGAGAAATTAAGCTAATCCATTCTCATTGTTTTCTGATAAACAAGACTAAACATAATTTAGGAACTAAATCATATCTATATAATCAGCCTATTTGCAGTTGGTATTGGCATAAATGTTTTTTTTTTCAAGATCTATTTACACTAAGAGTTTAACGGGATATAACAAGAGGCGATTGTACAAATAAAATGAGGGAGGGAGGTGAATCCTTAAAAAGTATCAATTTGTTAAAAAAAAAAGGGTTGTTAATACTAAAATTCACTCGACTGTGTTGTGTCAAATACCCGACTAGCCGACAAAATTCGTAAAAAAAAACCCGAATATAACTTGAAAATCATTTTAGGAAATGAAGGAGGGGTGGGGGGTGGAAACCCCTCCTCCCTCCTCATTTCCTTAAATGATTTTCAGAAAAAGAAAAGTTGAGAGTAAAAACTGAAAGTAAAGCTTAGGAATACTACATATGTTCTCTTGAGAGAACAAGTAAAATGTTGAAGTAAAATTCAAAAGTTAATAAATAGAACAGGATGTTGGGATTGTTTTTTCAGAAGTTGTTTAGTTTACATCATTTTAATGCCATATTGGTAGAAACTTCCAGGTTTTGTAACATTTATCTATTTTTCACTCAGAGTTTCTTAAAAATATAGAATTATAGTGTAATGTATACTTTTGTTGTATGCTAGATATAGATTTTTTTTATTTATTTAGTAAATGTGCCTGCGGTAAATGGATTTGTACTTCGAATATTTGTCCAAAAGTAAGTTGTTTTAATAAGAGTAAAATTATTCTACTAAAGAATGATAACTATTAAATTAAATTATAAAAACTATTTTTCAGACATAATACTCCTATTTTTATTGCCGCTCTGGAACAAATATATAAAGTGATAAAAAATGTTTACCTTTTAGATTTAAAGAATGCGAGTCAAAGCTTAAAACAATGTTAAAAAGAAGAATTTTTTTTTTAATTAGTTCGGAGAAATTTTTTTATGTAATGTATGCTTAAATATTTTATGGTTTTATTTTTTTACGAAATGGAAAATTTTGTATCGTAATGCTAACCAGGATAATTTTCTTTGTGTTCGCCAAACTACAAGTATTTTATAAGTATTGTTTCGGCTTCCGTTCTTATATTCGCAAATTTTGACTTCATTTTTTGAAAAGGTTCAACCAGCATTTTAAAATATTAGTTGATCATAGAATAAAGTTAATGACTAAGTAAGTCAAAAATTGTGTGATAATAAAGTACAGCAAAAGCTATAATCAAAAGAATGAAGTGCCATGAGTATCTTTATCAATCCAAGAATGAAGTGCCATGAGTATCTTTATCAATCAAAAGAATGAAGTGCCATGAGTATCTTTATCAATCAAAAGAATGAAGTGCCATGAGTATCTTTATCAATCAAAGGGGCATCTAGTTGGAAAGAGTTTTTATAATAATTTAAAAACGCGAGATTTTTAAAGAAACCCTTTTCTTTTTTTTTTAATAATCGATTTGAAACAAATGGGTTTGAACTATTTGATTAACTAAGACTTAATTAATTCTTAATTAGTTCAAAGTTAATCAAATCTAATTTTTTTATACAACAGTTTTTCGATAAAAAAATCATATCATAAGTAATAACTATTTTTGGGTGCAAAATATTTTTCCGAATTTAAACTACTTTTGTAATGTTTTGAAAAACGACTGCTCCAACTTTTATGCTGATGAAATAAATAAGATTAAATGAGATAAAAAAAAAGTTTTTTTTATCTCATTTAATCTTATTTATTTCAAAATGAGATAAAAAAAAAGTTTTTTTACTTTTCATACTTAATACAAATATTTTATTTAATTTTGACCAAAATACTTAAACCTATAAACACTTTCAACGTAATTAGCTAATACCTGGTACAGTTCAGATGACATAAGTTCAAATGTTCATCTGCAAGATTTTAATCTAGTTCTCCAAAGTAATATGACTTGGTTTAAAATAGAATGGTTTATAAATTTACATAAAATAAAGTATGCAGTCTACTATTAGGTCAAACAAGCCTGATTAACGTAAGTATTTCTGCTGACAACAGAGTGGTTTTAATTCTTTAATAATCTAAAAATTCGATTACCAGTTGCTTTTAAACAATTCATAGTTCTTGGTTTAATTCTTTAAGAAGGAATAGTCGTCAGGTTTTTTTTATAGACTTTTTAAATATCTATGTATGGATTAAAAAAGTTTCATTTTTCATTAGTGAAAGAAAACTACTACAACTAAATATAAATAAATTAACGAACTGTGTATAAATTTACGTGTTGTAAATAATTTAACGATTTGTAAATAAATTCACTGCATTTAATAACAGAAGCCGACACAAAATTATTTTTTATTTATAAGCAAATAATGCGTTTTTGTAAGATGTCTCATTTTGATTTCAAATGTGCGACTCATTATTCAATATCGCGTCAGATTAATATTTGGGTTCGAATCTTCAGTATTTAGGGAGAAATCCCTATCATAGTCAAAAAAACAAAATCAAAAAAACAATTTAAAACTGGGTCAATCTGGGTCTCAAAAAAAAGCATTTTTTCATAAAGATTATTGAAAACATAAACCTTTTTACTTAATATCATTAGACAAAAAAAAATTGTTAAAAAACGCTAAAGACTTTTAAAGCAGTTAAATTATTATTCCGCAGAATTGAAAATTTCTTTTTTTGCTTAAAACTTAAATGAGCCTAAAAATCTTACCAGTGGCGGATTGAGGTTTAGTGTCGCGGGGGGGCCAAGTCAATAAATAGGGGCGACCGAGGTTGCCTTCAGTAATTTAATCTTATATATATATATATATATATATATATATATATATATATATATATTATATATATATATATATATATATATATTAATTGTTTTAGGGGGCGCCGTTAGACCGTTCTAGGGGGGCGTGGGGGGGCAGCTCGCCCCCCCCCACGCCCTATACTAAATCCGCCACTGGATCTTACCATATTATCATTTTTTGTATTTTTTTTTTTTGAAAAGAATTCCATATCTTAGGTCCTCAAAATGATATTGAATACTCTGTATACTTAATGATTTTCTTTGGCAAATTAAAGAAACTTAATTGATTTGTTCCAAGGAAAAAATTTTCACTTATATTTCTTTCAAACTTATATATGAAAATAGCTGGATTGAGGTTATTTACAAATATAAATATTTATTTCATAAAAATTCAACATTTTTATGTCTCTTATTAAATCATGATCTTCTCATTTTTTCCTGTGTATAATTCTTAAAATATGATTTTTTATACTAAGTATTTTTAAGCATGTGTTCTACCCATATAATACTGGCAAAAAGATAATGTTTTTAATGAAAAGCATTGATTATTGAGTGATGGAAATTTATTATGCATTTGATTTCAATGAAAGAAGGATTTTTGACGCTTTGATTGAGCTGGAAAGTTGGTTGATGAAATGAGAGAGAATTGACAAGGAAACACAACAAATAGTAAAATAGAGAAAAATATTCCTAGATGATCACGTTAAAAATTTTTTTATATTTACCATAAAAGATTTTTTTATATTTACCATGTATGAAACTCTTAACTTACCTTACTTGTATAGTGAGTGTTTAATATATATATAATAAAAAATAAAATAATAATAATAATAATAATAATAACTGAGTAAAACGAATTAAAACCAAAATTATTTTATGTGCTATGTGGATGTCACACTAAATCATGATGAAGCAATCTAATTCTTGGAAACATAGGATATTGCCAGGTGTTGCTATGACACTTTCGGAGTTTTATAATAAAATATACTTTTTTTGTGCAATACTTTATTTCAAAAGCAACACATTTAAAGTATGAAATGGAATATGTAAACAAATGATTTAGTACGTTTAAGTTTTAAAATTAAATTTTTTACGTGCATACTTTTTTATTTACATATTTTAAATTGTTAAATAAAACCCAAGGTGATATGGTTTAGGTGATACCCATATAATAAATTGTTAAAATTTCTAAATTATAAAAAAGATTAGTTAATATAGGTTTGACGAGCTAATAAAAGTTATAATTAAATGAAACAAAAATGGAGCAGTACTATTAATATGCTTGAACATTTTTTGGAAGCGCAAAAGGAAGTAAAAATAACTCTGATTGGTGCAAATACTGATTTTCTTTTAACTAAAAATGAGATTGATATCATAAATGAACTTTGGATTGCTTTAAAACCACTAAAAACACTAAAATTGGTCATTAATACCTATTCAAAAGGAGATGCTGATCTTTTGTAATCTGAAATTGTCACTAAATTTACAAGAAAATAACTTCATGAAGCCAATACATTTATAAATATAATAAATAACTATAACAAAACAAAACACCAATAAATATATATAAATATAATAAACCTTTTTAAACAGATATTTGAATATAGATTAATTGAAAGAAGAAACACTCATTCAGTTCATCTCATAAAGTACTTGACAAATCCTAATGTCTTAAAGATGAAATAATATGACAACAAGATGACCACTATGGCAACAAGATTAAAAAATGACGACTACTAATCTTGCTACTAATCTTATTCAGCAACTATTTTAGCCATCTGATAATAACTCTGATGATGACAAGAAAATAAATACTGATAGTGTAACTGATAACGTAAAAAAACTCAAAAATGAATTGAATTTAGCTCAATATTTTATTAAACAATCAGACACTGAAATGAAACTTGAACATCAGGAAATTGGAACAAATCTTGTTCAAAGGAAATGGCTGTTTTTAAAGCTAACAAAGTTAGGTCCAAGTATTTAAATTTCCTTTTTAAAGCTCTTGAAACAATTCTTTCTACATCCGTAGAAGCTGAAAGAGCTTTTTCTAGTCTTAGACATTTTGCGACAAAAATTAAAATTTATTTAAATAACGAAACTTTAGATGCACTAAATTTTAAAGCGAACTATGAAGAGTACTCATTGATATTATTTTCTTTTTTCCTAATTAATGACGGTAAACAAATAAACATTTTAACGCATATTTTGTGTTACATTTTTGATAACATAGCCGAAGGTTTAGAAAATAATTTTTTGGTTTCCATACGCATGAAAGGTTGACTTTAAGTTATGATTAACTTTAAGTTATTAATAACTTAAGTTAATGCCGTGAAATTTATCTTGTCAAAGAGGGACAATACTTTTATGTTAACTGCGTATAAACTAGGGCTGTTAACCAGAGGATTTCGTACAATTCCGAAAAAACAACATTCTTTCGTAAGGAGATTAAGAACGAGGAATTACATTTTTTTCGTTATCGAATATTGCAAAACATTTAAAATCGTTCATTTCGCAAGTTCTACCTCCGAAATTTAGCCTTTCGCAAGTTGACTTACTATATAAAACTATTTTATAACTTACGAAAGTAGCGGTTTCGGAAGTCGCACTTGCGAAACGAGCACTTTTGCCAAACGACGTTTTGAAGTCTATAATGAAAGATTATTTACCAGACTGATTTTAATTGTAAAAATTAACATCTTTAAATCCCAAAATGTTCATAATGAATTTTTATTTTCAGTATAATAACATATTAAATTTTTATGGTTTTATTTCTAGAAATAATGATAAAAAACAAAATTTCTCTAGAAATAATGATAAAAAACAAAATTTCTCAAAAACGAAACTATTTTGCACCACAACGTACGAAAGTGTTCTTAACGGAAACAAACTTACTAAAAGTGCCTTAGTAAATATATTTAATGATGTTTTATAAACTCATTTCGTAAAATTAACAACTAAGTAACAAAAATGCTAATTATTATATGATATTGAAAAGCATTAGTTGCAAACTTTTATAAATAAAACTAGGCTTTCGTGAAATATACTTTTTTTAAATGGCATTTTAAATGGCATTTTAAATTTTTTTAAACGACGAAAATAACTTGAAGAACATTAACCTTTTCATTTTGGGGCAAAAAAGAAAATTGTAAAGACAACTTTTTATAATTTTTGTTAAAAAATGGTTTCTTTTCTAAAAAAAAAATTTAAAAGGAGGAGGGTAGTAAAAAATCATTTGAAAGATTCTGTAACGAAAAAAAGGGAATGTACTATACCACCCTTCCCTTGGGTCTTCACCAATGAAACAATTATAAGATGGAATCTCACTAGGACTACACAAGTGCTGAAAGTATAAGAGCTGTAGTAAAAGGAAGCAAAAAATAAATCGCCAAATTTAGTGAAAACTGACAACGGCCAAAAAGAAGTTAAATAAAAAATGTTATATATGTATATATATATATATATATATATATATATATATATATATATATATATATATATATATATATATATATATATATATATATATATATATATATATATATATATATATATTTATATATACCTGGGAGGGAGGCTACAGCCCCCTCTTTTTAAAGATGTAGCTTTGGTCCCTTCACTTTAAAGATTTTATTTTCACCCTAATGTGAAATTGCAAAGTAAAACTGGGCTTTATGTCAAGAGTTTATTAAAAAAAAAAAAAAAACTTTTGCAAAAAAAGTATAAAATTGCACCAACTTTAAAACCAAGGTAAAAAAAAAGCACCAATATTTTTTTTGACACGCTGTTTTCGACCAATATTTTTTTTTATTAGTGCTTTTTATTTCAAATAAAAAAGTTATAAAAGATAAACCCTTGATTGTTAAATAAATGTTTACATTAAACGAAATAAAAGTTATTAATTATTAAAATATTGTTAATGACTTGAGATAACTATTTTGTTTTTTGCGATTTTTACGGAAAACCTGTCTTGGACCAACTCAGATTTAGTAACATGCTTGATACTTGAAATTTGGAACACATATCAATTAATGTGTGCTTTAACATATTTAACTACTTAGTTGATTTTATTACAAAAAGTTACTTTTTAAGACATTTAAATATTTAGTTTAATGATTTACATATGTAAAACACAAAATTTTTGACGATTAACTAAAGTTATTAGTAACTTAAAGTCAACCATAACTTAAAGTCAACCATTTATGCGTATGAAAACCGAAAAATTATTTTCTGTACCTTCAGCTATGTTATCAAATATATTTTCAAATTTGGCATTTTTAGCACTAAATTTGTCTTTAGCGTGAATTTTTAAGGAATGACGTAGTTACGTCACATAACTTTAAAAACGTCTCACATAACTTTAAAAACGCTTTATTTCTGAATGAAATAAACCTTATTAGTTTTCTGAATTTCTCTTCGTGAACTTTTAATATTTGTTAAATATATCTTTAACTTTGATAATGTATTTAATTTCCATTTAATCCTCCTCCCCCTCTTTATTTTTTTAAAAAACATATGTAATGTTTGGCGATTTTGTTGTCTGACTTTAATAATCCTTGTATCGGTTCACATTAGATTTAAGTAAAGTTTTTTAGCTTTGAAAATATTCTGTTTT